AAACCTCCAAAATTTCTCAAAAACGTGAATATTAGCCTTTAATTTTGGAATTTTTTGACTTTTTTCGCCCGGAAATAAAAATTGCCGAAATGTTTACCATAGTCATTAATATCCTCTGGGAGTCCAATTGGTTGGGTGGAACCATCCAATTTGCCTTTAAACGACCAATTTATCGGTTTACAACTTGCACTGATTTCATTAACTCAAGCCTACCATGACCATTTATCACAACATATAATGGTCATTTATGGTTTCAAACGACATTATATGACCCCGAGATGTATTCCCTAAAATCTCATTTCTTTTCGTCACCGGGACCCGAAACCTTCGAAATTTCTCAAAAAGCGTGGATATAGCCTTCAATTTTGGAATTTTTTGAATTTTTTCGTCCGGAAATAAAAATTGCCGAAATGTTTGCCATGGTCCGTATTTCCCTCCGAGAGTACAATTGAGTGGGTGGAACAATCCAATTTCCTTTAAACGACCAATACCGGTTTACAACTTGCACCGATTTCATTAACTCATGCCTACCACGATCATTTATGTCAAAAATAATGATCACAAGACTCCAAAATTTCTCAAAAAGGTGGATATTAGTATTCATTTTTTGAATTTTTTGATTTTTTTTCGCCCGGAAGTTAAACTTGCCGAAATGTTTATCATGGTCACTAATACTCTCCGGGAGTCCAATTGGGTGGATTGGAACCATCCAATTTGCCTTTAAATAGTCAATTTACCGGGTTACTACTTGCATCGATTTCATTAACTCAAGCCTACCACGAACATTTATGACAACATATAATGATTATACTACCTCCATTTCTTTTTAGTTGACATGTATTCCTTTTTAGAAAGTTTTTTTTAGTTGACACGTTTCCTTTTGGGGTAAATTTTTTATCTTGCATTTACAAGCTACCCCACTTGCTTTTTCATTCTCTCTTACTCTTTCTCCTCTCCTTAATATATGTGCCTAAATCAAACACGTCAACTAAATAGAAACGGAGAAAGTATATGATTCCAAACGGCATTATATGACCCCAAGATGCATCCCTAAATTTTTAAGTCTTTTCGACAACGGGCCTAGAAATCTCCAAAATTTCACAAAAAGCATGGATCTTAGCCTTCAATTTTGGAATTTTTTTTAATTTTTTTCGCCCGTAAATAAAAATTGCCGAAATGTTTACCATGGTCTCTAATACCCTCCGAAGTCCAATTGGGTGGGTGGAACCATCAAATTTGTCTTTAAAAGGCCAATTTACTAGTTTACAACTTGCACTGATTTTATTAATTCAAGCGTACCACGAACATTTATGACAACATATAATGATCATATATGTTTCTAAACGGCATTATATGACCCCGAGATGTATCCCATAAAATCTCATTGCTTTTCGACAGCAGGCCTCGAAACATTCAAAATGTCTAAAAAAAGTGGATATTAGCCTTTAGTTTTGGAAAATTTTGACTTTTTTAGCCCGAAAATAAAAATTTCTAAATATTTACCATGGTCCCTTATATCCTCCGGGAGTTCAATTGGGTGGGTGGAACCATCCAATTCGTCTTTAAACGGTTAATTTACCAGTTTACAACTTGCACCGATTTCATTAACTCTAGCATGCCAGGAACATTTATGACAACATATAATGATCATATATGGTTCCAAATGACATTATATGATCCCGAGTTGTGTCTCCTAAAAACTCAAGGCTTTTTGACACTGGGCCCTAAAACCTGCAAAATTTCTCAAAAAACGTGGATAATAACCTTCAATTTTGAATTTTGTAGACTTATTTTGGCATGGAAATAAAATTGGCGAAATATTTACCATGGTCCCATATACCTTCTGGTAGTCCAATTGGGTGGATTGAACTATCCAATTTGCCTTTAAACGGCCAATTTACAGGTTTACAACTTGCACTGATTTCATTAACTCAAGTCTACCATGAACATTTATGACAACATATACTGATTATAAATGGTTCCAAACGGCATTATATGACCGTGAGATGTATCCCCTAGAATTTTAAGACTTTTCGACACAGGGTCCCGAAACCTCCAAAATTTCGCAAAATGAGTGGATTTAATTTTGGAATTTTTTGAATTTTTTTCGCTCGAAAATATAAATTGTTGAAATGTTTACCATGGTCCTTAATACCCCCCGGGAGTCCAATTGGATGGGTGGAACCATCCAATTTTCCTTTAAACGGCCAATTAACCAGTTTAAAACTTGCACTGATTTCATTAACTCAAGCCTACCACAAACATTTATATGACAACATATAATGATTATAAATGGTTCCAAACGGCATTATATATCCGCGAGATGTATCCCCTAGAATTTTAAGACTTTTCAACACCGGTTCTCGAAACCTCTAAAATTTCTCAAAAAGCATGGATATTAGACTTTAATTTTGGAATTTTTTGACATTTTTTCACCCGAAAATTAAAATTTCCGAAATTTTTACCATGGTCCCTAATACTTCCCGGAAATCCAATTAGGTGGGTGGAACCATCCAATTTGCCTTTAAACGGTCAATATACCGATTTACAACTTGCACTAATTTTATTAACTTAAGCCTACCACGAACATTTATGACAACATATAATGATCATATATGGTTCCAAAGGTATTATATGACCCTGAAATTTATCCCCTAGAATTTCAAGACTTTTCGACACCGGGCCTTTAAACCTCCAAAATTTCGTAAAATGCGTGGATATAAAGACTTCAATTTTGGAATTTTTTGACTTTTTCCGCCCGATAATAAAAATTGTCGTAATGTTTACAATGGTCCCTAATACTTTTCGGGAGTCCACCTGGCTAAGTGCAACCATCCAATTTGTCATTAAACAGACGAGTTACCGGTTTACAACTTGCACTGATTTTATTAATTCAAGCCTACAATGAACATTTATGACAACAAATAATGATCATTTATGGTTCTAAACAAAATTATATGACCCAAAATGTATCCCCTAAAATTTCAAAAGTTTCAGACACCGAGCCCTGAAACCTCTAAAATTTCTTAAAAAGCGTGGATATTAAACTTCAATTTTATAATTTTTTTTAACTTTTTTTCGTCCGAAAATAAAACTGCCGAAATTTCTTATAGTTATAATCAATTTATTGTTTTATTTGCGGTTTTTTATCCCTAAATATCTTTAATTACGTAATGAAAAAATTATAAAAAATACATAATAATAAAATACACATTATTACGATTGTAACTAGACCTCACTCGACATATTTCTTCTTTATAGATTATTGTACATAAGAGGTCAAAGTTTGTCAAATTAGACAGTCAGATCACATCAAATTAATTCATACCATATTAGATCTGATTAGACCATATTAGCAAAAATAAGGTGAACTAAACAAGTCTTAATTCACAAATTACATATGAGTGATTATAGCTAAGTCATTAGAGTTGTCTCCATATATAGTTGTGAAATATGAAGAATCAACTTTATAAACTTATACACAAGTAGAGTTTAACAATTTTATTTTATTTTTATATTTTTTTTCAACGGGAGAGTTTAATAATTGAAATTTACATAGTACTCGTACGTTGTAAGTGTAAAGGTAAAATATAAAAGATATAAAAGAAAAGGGTTTGAGGTGGTTCCCTAAATGGTTGGAACAATCCATTTTTCCTCTAAACTATAAATTTAACTAATTATGACCATGTCTCCCATCATTAACCCATTGCCACTAAAAACCTTTATGTGTTCAAGTTAGTAGGCGTATATGGTTCCAAACAATCTTTTATAACTTTGAGTTGCATTCTTAGCCATCAATTTAGTTTTTAACACTAGGTCCTAAAATATGCAAAAATGATCTAAATCTATAATATTATTAAAACTCATGGGGATAACATGCTAATGACATGTGTCACCCATATGCCACATGTACACTACATGCCTACATGTTACCCTATGTATCACCCCTCTTCTCTCACCATATTGAATTGTATTGATGTTTAGTTTTTATAACCAAAACTTTTCATTGACCTAACTTTAATGTTATATAATACGGAGTAGTGTTTAATTTTATTGAATTTAAAACTCTTATATGTATATCTCTTATTATATTTTCATTTAAAAAAAGGTTATTGTTCAACATTAATTTGATCAAACCTTTGAATTTATAATGATCCGGGGCATCGCACGGGTCAATAACTAGTTTATGTATAATACCCTTGATTTTTTGAGAATATCTTAATTTTTTTTACCCTAAAATGAAAAAGGTCAAGGTGTTTTCTACAAATCCTGAATAGTTTCCGGGGAGTTGGAAGGTTGAAACCATCCATTCCCCCCTTCCTAATTGTCAATTTAGTCAATTATTGCACACGTCTCGTTGTTGACTTAAGGTCACCACAAACATTTATGTATCTGTTTAATGAACGTATATGGTTGTGAATAATCTATTATAATCCTAGAATTATGCATTCCTCACCATCATTTGAGTTTTCAACACCGCCTTGAAATTTACAAAATTGGTTCATTTTTATGAATTATAGCCTTCAACTTTAGCCTTCGAACAACATTTGTGCTCCAACAAGCTATTTCATTGAGGTACTTCTCATGATTCTCAAAAGTTTCCAGGACGTTATATCTTCGAGCTCATTTCTTGTGTTCGTGCATTTATTAGTTAAAACTGAGTTTCAGTTACCCAATTGTTAATACTATCTCCAATTCTTATTACTAACAAAAATAGAATATGGTTTTGTTTGCGTGATTGTAAAATTGCTTTGCAAGTTGTAATTTTGGATCAATTTATTTGTGTTATAATTAAGGTCATAGGACTTCAAAAAAGGTCCAAAAAAATTGGGTTATAAGATCCACCGAAGTGGGTAGCCTTAACCGGATGTGAATGTTACAGGAAAGCCCGAAGGCCATTCCCGTCCCTGTCAGGGGAGATGCCAACCATCTCTCCTTTCTACGAACACAATTTAAATTACTCCTATCTCTTCTATATAAACTAATATTCTATCTTCTAATCTTTCGATGTGGTACAAACATTTGTTTTCTTAAAACAAACTTAAAAAACTAACCTACCTCTCTTCTTTCTACGAGATCCATCCTCTCATACTCGCGCACACAATTGGCCCACCAAGTGTTCGACGAAATTCCCCCACCAAAAAAACCAGGGGAAAACCCTTTCAAGAACCAGAGATGGGTAAACGAGGTAAAGGGAGAGAAAATGGCGCTTCTTCTTCATCTGGGTTTCACACATCTCTCACTCTTCGAGAAGAAGCTAGTGGAAAGAAACAATCCCACAATTCTAAAGCAGTTCTTAAACATAAACATTTACAGAGTTTGGCTCAATGGGCTGCTGGGTTAGGGCAAGGGAAAGGTAAAGATGAACCTTCAGTTGGTTATTTGGGTGCCCTTTTTGGTCGTCGTTTTGCTGAGTTTGGGGAGTCCTTAGGAATTGCCCCTGACCCTTCTCTCTTCTCTTGCCAAAGGTGATTTCTTTTTATTTGATTCTGTTTATTTGCTTTGTTAATTTTATGGTTGTTGTGATCTGTGTAGTGTTTTGTATTGCAATTTACAATATCGTTGCGGCTGGTTTGGTAGTCGGTAATTGATGATTGTAATGGTAATTGTATTGGAATTTTTTTGTAGTTTTGCTTGATTTTTTTGCTTCAAGCAATTAATACTGGTTAACATTTTGGGTTACAAGAAGAGTTTAGTGTGTGGGAAGAACAATAAACATGTTTGGAATCCTTAGACTCCCATTAATTTCATTAGGATGTGTTATCTGCTTTGTATTTGTTTTTATTCAGATTGTGTCTACAATTCAAGAACTTTGTAGCTAGGATGTTAAATGCTAGAGTAGGTCATAGAACGCGCGCTTGAAGGTAGTGGCTATCTGTTGGCTAGGGAGCTTCTGTAAGTTATAAAGATTGTGTTTCAGTTGCTATTGTCAAGGAAATAGAAGGTAGGCTTGTTGTAAAGGTGAGGGGAAGGGATAAGTAATTTCCCATTTGGATGCAAAACATGAGGGAAGTAAATGTTGAAAGGGAAGGGAATGGGTTCCTGATGTGATCGGAAATTCGGAATGGTTAGATTCTCAAAGCACCTATGATTTTCTGCTGGTGGGGAAACTCAGGTTAAGGAAAGAGTTGTGAAGCCAATGACTATCGTCTTAAATGCCTGATAGCAATAACTATTTCATTGCCTTGTTCATATACCATATTAATGGAAAAGAAGATGGTGATGGGGCTGTTGTGGTTTATAGCCAATTTTGGAAGGATTCAGTTAGGAGGGAAATTGGGACCTCTAATTCCCTTACTTTCCCAAAGCTAACCTCATAATCATCCAAAGAATGGAATATAAGTACCAAACACCATACTTGTCATTTCTTCTATATACTCTCATATATACATAGTGCATGGTTTGCTCTATTTAATTTTCACCTTGTTAAAGAGTTTGCTCATATTATTTTGAAGCAAAACCAAGTAAAAATGACTAATAGTCTATTCATATATTTTCAAGTGGTTTTGTTCGAAGAGATATGATCAGCAGATGGTGAAGCCGTAGGTTTAGCTGTTTGATTGGCTATCTTGGTTCTTGGAGCATGTTTGATGTATAGGTATTAGAAGCAAGATCTAGAAGACTAGAAGTGTTGCTGTTTTTAGATGGCTCATATAATAGTTGCTTCTATTACCCAATGACCTAAAATGTAATGCATCAGATACAGGGGAAGGGAACTTTAGGTAATGAACTAATGATGAACAAATTAGTTATTATTAGGCTGGGGAGGAAGGCATGTAGGGGGTTATATGTATATAAGATCAGTTTGAGTGAAGACATAAAGAAAAATTGTGATGAAGTGTTGATCACTTTTGTTGCGTTGTTAGTTGAGTGTACATCCACTTCAAAGCCTGGGATTGTTGACTCATAGTATGCTCAATCTGATGATTTGATTGCATCGACAATTTGTCTGGTGGATTACAAACTAAGTCAATCTTCATTTTTGAATCAGTAGCTACAGATCTTCTGGGAAAGCATGGTAGGTAAAAGCTTGAAAATGTTTTAGTTCATGGCTGTTACAATACTTGTAACTATTATAGATACTGTAGGATATTTTGCATCAATCTTCTTGGTAAAAACATTGATCATCTGAGGGGGTCTGTTTCAGCTTCTATCCTAACATGTTAGTTCTAGCAATTGCCTATCCGTTGGGTTTCTTTGCAAAGGAAGTTGACCTAGGGCCTGGAGTTAGTAGTTGGTAGTTTAGTACCATTGCACTGTCCTTTTGTAAGCTTGTGGTGTTTTAGTATAATTCTGTTCACAACTTGGCATTGTTTACTGGTGTAATTGGGTATACTATCCTCTGTTGTGAGGTAGTTTGTTATTTTGTTTAATGAATTCTATTGCTATTTTTGCAGATGTGAGACGATTCTCCAACCTGGCTCCAACTGCACGATTCGAATTGAAAAAAATCGAGCCAAGAGACAGAGGAGAAGCAAAACTAAGACACCCACACAAAATAACGTTGTTTACACATGCCACTTCTGCTTGCACCGGAATCTAAAGCGAGGAACCCCAAAAGGACATATGAAAGATCTAACCCCTTCAAAGCCCATATCTTCAAAGCCTAAATCTGTAATCTCTGCAAAGAAAAGTAAAACTAATATTAGCAATGTCAAAATTGGCAAGGAAGAGATTAGCAAGGTCATAACTGCCAAGGCAAACGAGGAGAATTTAAACAAGGTCATAACTGCCAAGGCAAACGAGGAGAAATTAAACAAGGACATAACTGACAAGGGGGACAAGGAGAATTTTAGCAAGGTCATAACTGACGAAGCAACTGAGGCACCTGCACCAGCAATAAGCAATGTTTGTTCTTCTCTTACAGATGCTCCAACTAGTTCATTGGCCGAGAGTGGTGCAAAATTATTGGATAGTAAGAGGAGGAAAAGGAAAAAACCAGGGCTGAAGAGATCAACAGAGGAGACTATGGTTAGTTCAGCCCCAGCAGAGATAGAAAAAGGTAGCGGCGCTTTGAAGAAAAGGAAGAAGTCCTGGACTACTCTGAAAGATATTGCAGAGAGTGAGAAGCATGACAGAAATCAGAGGTTTACTAATTTTTCAATTCCCTTCAACTTGTAATTGTGATTAAGAATCACTGAAGTAACAATGAGCTCCTATAAGTTTCAAGAGAAAGGATATATAATTTTGATGCTGCTTTGAGCGATTAGATTAGCTGACAAACTCGATTATGAGATCTTCAGCAGAAATTATCTTGTCCGCTTGAATCTCTTAATTATACAGCGTGCCTTATACCAATTAGAAGTAATATTGTTGTAGATTCATCTTGATTTGTAGTTTCAAAACACTCATTAGTTTTCATAGTTTGATTATATGCATTGCAAATTGTTGCTTATAAATGTAAGTAGAAAATCGTAACAAGCCAAATGGGATAAACATTATAAAATGGAAGGACTCAAGGGTAAGTTACGAAAGTATTTTAAACAAGATATGTCTTACTTTTCAATTAGCAAATTATTAGACTTACAGAGTATCTATATTATCTTGCATGAAAAGAGAATTGTTGGTACAATGTAAAACTTGTATATGTATCTCTACTATGCACAGGTTATCCACAAAAATCTTACAATAATTGTTAAATTGTTTCCATTTTTCGTGAGTGATTTCCCAAAATAATGTAATAATATAAACTAATTCCTTATATACATTCGTTTAAAAACTAATTCCCAAATTTTTTTTTCATTTTTTTTTGGGTGGGGGAGGGTTTGGGGCTTGGGGTTTTAAATGAAGCATTAATGGTTTTAGAAAAGGTAGTCCAAAATTCTTGCACTATTGTTAAGAAAAATTAAGAAAAGTTGGTTTGAATTATCTTAACTTAATTTAGGCCATTTGCTTTTAATATTCGATTTATTTTTTAAACTTCGAGGGATATTTACTTTCTTTGGTCCCAAATAACCAATAACTTGTTTAATGGTTTTTTTTAAAAAAAACTTTTTTTTTTTAACTTGTTGACCACAACCACCAACGTCATTAAGAACACCCACTAGGGTGGTTTTTCGGCATTGCAGAAAATGGGGGGGGGGGAGGGGGTTGTTTTTGATGGTTGGGTCCAATAGTTTTCGAGGGCGATCGCGGTTGAATGAGAGGTGGTCGACTATGAAAGGAGGATGGTCCTCGTGTTTAAGTGGAGGGTAAGGTGTTCAACGATTGGCCGGAGGGGTTGTATTTTTGGTAAAGTTCAGAATATTAAAAATGCAATCTTTTATTGATTACTCATACTAATTATTGTATATGTTAGTTTTCTTATACTTATATATGAATAACAATTACACTTTCAAAAATTAAAATTTAATTTGATTAATAATGATTATATGTTAATTATTCACCAAAAAAAAAAAAAAAAAAATCCAATACAAACTTTTATTGATTACTGATCAATAGTATACATCTCTAATGCAATCTTGATATGTTTAGGGATATTGCATTAGTGGCTTGTGCTTTAGTATATGTACAACATTTACTTCTTACATGGGCAAGTTTTGTTATAAAAAATTCTAAAAGTCCCCCATCAAAATAATAGAATCCTTCTTTCTTACAACTTCCTATTAATCCACTCTTTTCTTATCAACATTGAATCACAGCAGCAAATTCAAACAGGAAGAGAAGGCATAGTGATGGAACTAAGGGAAGAGATTTCATGGAATTCAAGAAGCTCGCCGAAGAAATCGCAGGGCCAAAAGAGGAAGGAAACACAGAAAGACGTGGTGATTGGCAGTAAGGAGGCAAGGTCCAAGAAAACTCAACACAAAAACAAGGAACACATACCGGTCAGGCCCATTGTGCTGGGACTTGAAGCGAAAAAGGAATAGGAACAACAGCAGGGCCAAAAAGTGAAGGTTAACAAAAGCAATAGCTCCAGAAAAGGCCGGGTTCAAGCTAGTGCAGGAAAAAGCACCAGAAAAGGTCAAGTGCAGGCTAGTGCAGGAAAAATCCCCAGAAAAGGTGAAGAACAAGCTGGTGAAGGCAGAAGCTCTGGAAAAGGTGAGGTTCAAGCTAGTGAAGGCAGAAGCTCCGAAAATGGTCAGAAACAAGCTAGTGAAGGCATTAAGATCTTTGGTGCGCTTGTATTGCCAAAATGGTAAGGGGGCTTCCTTTACAAAGCCCTCCAGTCGGCCAAGCATTAGGATTCATCGTGGAATGGCAGGATCATCGTGGAATGGCAGGAGACTTAGGAACTTTAATTAAGCAGACAATACTATAGTTTCATTTCTAAAATGTTTGTGCGTTTGATCTATTAAGCAGACAATACCATTCAGTCTCTGGAGTACTTAGATTGCCTTCTATACAGTTATGTTTTTTTTTTTCCTTTTCTTGATGGCACAGATGGGGTGGCTTGGAGTAGGCACCTAGCAATATCGTAAAGTTCTATGTTAGGGATATCTATTATATGTGTTGTCTTTGTTTATGGATCTCAGGACGTTAAGTCCAGAACCCAAGTTTCAAAATGGGTAGACAGGTAATGACAAGCAGGGAGGTTCTACTACTATCCAAGGGTGGGATGGCTGCATATGCCGGAAGATGTCCAATTAGCTTGTTGATGTCCTATAAGGGGGTGTTGATTCACACAGTGGAATGGGAGGGAAGAAGACACCATTCACATTCGAATCCTATTAACTTCCCTACCAAGCTATCTGACCATGCCCCTATTACATTCTGAATTGGTGGATGGACATAATCTATTTAAGGAGATTCTTTCTTAGGTTTGGAATGGGAGGTAGGTGGAACAGTAATGTCTATGCAGATGGATAGGTGAAGCCAAATCAGGAATGTTCATATGGTGCACGGATTTTGCTCTTCACAGGCAGTCTACTGTCATGCCCTCAGTAGAAATTATTGAGCACCTAGGTTACAGGCCGGAAAGTTCCTGGTCTGTGACTCTGTGAGTTACCCAGGTTCATACTCTAGCAATTAATGCTACAGGGTACAGATACCCTTGTTCTGTTTCTCACATCAATTATCAAAATTTTCATCGTTTCTGTGATTGCCAAATTAAATCACATACTTCGTATATTTTTTTAAATAGGCAATATAATACAACAGCACATTTTGCACATATGTGAAACTTACAAAAGTGTACAACATATGGAGAAACTATACTTTCATCACATGAAGCAATTGGTATTTAGTTATTTACCTATCCTTTCAAAAAAAATAAAAATAAAGAGGGAACTGAATTCAGGAATACATACACTGTCAAAATTAGAATGACGCAGACAACTTTTTTTTGCATCTGTTTATGGATTCATCAAGCAATAGATTTTACAGTGGGAACAAGTAACTCGGCAATGTGACTCTTCGCCTTTTCCCTCACATAAGCAATAGGAATGCGATCAATTACCTCAGCCCCAAAAGAGTAAATAAGCGCCTTTCTAGCAGTCTCCAAGTCAATGCCCCGAGCCTGGAAATAAAAGAGCTGATCCTCTTCTAGGTCACTTATAGCAGCACCATGAGAGCACTTGACATCATCTGCAATTATCTGGAGATTGGGTTTCACATTTACTGTTGCCTGAGGAACAAGGAGTAAACTCCTTGTCAGCTGGCCAGCATCTGTTTGCTGAGCATATCTGCGGGGAAAAAAAGAGTTGTAAGCGAAAGAAGCAAGTATAAGCTGTACAGACTACTGCTCAGAGATAAACTAAGACACATAACTGCAAGTAATTGATGAAAAGAGTAGCATGACTAGCATCTCAAGGGCTTGAAAGGCAACAAGAGATATTATACATTGAAGCTGTAAGAAATCATCTATAATTTGGGCATTAGTTGGTGGATATATACACTGGTGCATGGAAAGATGATAATAAAGAAAAAGAAGAAAAAAAAAAGAATAGGATAAATGATAGAGCAAGGAAAAACGGGTTGGCTTAGCTCTTCAAAAGTCACTCTTTTTAAAGGATTAAAATCTGACTAAGATTTAATTTCCCTCAGTTTAAATCTGACTAATGCATTAGCTTGTACTCCACAAATTCATCACACAACAATTTAAGCATATACGAAACACTAGAAGTTTGATAAGTTGGACATTATTCATCTACACTCAACACAAGAAATGCAAAGGAAATGCAATACTCAGCAAGAATGGACTATCAAATTTAATCTCCGAGAATATACATAATTCTACTTGAACAGCCATGGTCAATATTAACTATCTTCATTAGACTCACAAGTCATTCGTTGATGATCTAACATTTGGAGGGCGGGGGGAGGAGGGTACTGTTCCGGCAGTTCCTTTAGACTTTCAGGGCAGAGGGTGGACCGGACCACTGGACCCTCTAAATCCCATGATGGCACATTCCAAGTTTCTAAGGACATGCTTTTCAGAATAAACAGCAATAGAATCAAAGAAGGAATCCAATGACTTAGAACTAATAGAAAGCTCATACTGTCAAGTAGAGACCAATAGCAAAAACAGATTGACAAGACTTCTTCATGGGCGGTTCAAGACACTACAAGCTTCTGTGAAGGTGCAATATACCTCAAAAAAAGAGATTTGACATACAAGTCACATTAAATAAGGAAAAAAAAAAAAGGAGTTCTTAAATAGCAATTCTTTTAGAGATTTATACAAAGTCTAAGGATATGAAAGTTTTTCTTCTCTTTTGACAGGAGGGATTACAATTAACAATTACAACAGTAAACTTTTTACAGGAATTGTTGCAAAAGGGTAAAAGTTGATTATTTATGATCCATGGGAGCTCGACAATTAGCTTAGCTTCACATTTTAATTCAAAATTATCTTACCAATGATAGTACACAACCATTACTATATTTTTGTCGCATCTTGTTTAGTAGCACAGGAACATTATATGAGAGTAGAAATTCTGAAAAAGTGAAGCTAACTCAACGCATTGCTGGCCAATATGTTTGCAATATTTACTTTGCTATTTCTTAAATATAGGAAAAGGTTTTGCATTCAGGTAAAGTATGATATACATGCTATGCATATTAAAGAAGTGTAAATCATGGATGACCAGCATCAAGGATATGAAACTGAGTATGCCAAGAAACATGGACTATATCTAACCCATCATCTGAAAATTGGATTTGGTTTCTATGACAAACATGAAGGTGTGAGAGATTGACAAAAGAAAAAGAAACAAGATATGATGGCTAGAATTCCTACGCATGCCAGAGAAGAATAGCAAACTTACCTATTAACTCTTACATTCCCATCAAATACAGCTTGTCCCCGTGGATGAGCCACGATGCACTTGTGAAGTTGGTTGGTGTAACCGCGTGGATGGTCCAAAATCAGACTGCTGTGCAAATCCTGCGTCTGATCATTGATAGATAGATGCAGTGTTGACAATTCTGT